ATTTTTTTCATAATATTATTTGCTTTGCAGAATTAAAAGATTTTAGATTGGGATTTCTATGGAATTAAAGGTTACACTGGATGAGGTGGGATCAACTGAAGAAACGGATCGCATTAGCATTACGTTTTGTTATATTTTGTAGCTTAGTTAATTTTAAGAATTGGGGAGTGCTCAGATCGTTATTGGCTTTTGTGCAGAGGTTCTGACTGCAGTGTAGCGGCAAACGCAGGTTACTTCCCATTGCTCTTATTTCTGCTGGCATGAGTACTGGTCTTTTATCGTAGGGGTAGTTTTTAATAGTAGAGAACCCCTCACAATTTTTGTGCATTTGCACTTTTATTTTTACTATGTGGTCGTCAACTTTTTTTTCATCTTGCTGTTTACTTTTGAAGGCTTTATTATCATATAATTGAATTTTTCCTTTGAGTTAAGTGCTTACTTTTTGGAACTTAAAGAAATCTTTTTTTATCTAGAAATACTTAATTCAGGTAACAAATAGAAGGGCTAAAACTCTGCTAACAATTTGGTTATGCGATCACTTGCTTAAATTTTAATTTTTTTCTAGATATCGCATAGCTGGATCAGTTTTTCAAAAGGTTTTCTTGTAACTTAGTCATACGCGTTCAACTGGAATTTAAGGTCAAGCAAGGTGTAGACAGTTTCTCAAACGTGTGATTTGGTTCGGAATGGCTTTTATTTGTTAAGGATTTTTCAACGGTATCTGAATTGTGTTTGAGGATCATTTTTTTAGTCAATGTTGGAGAAGATTGCCCGGTTTTTGATGGTCTTTATGAATTTTGTCAGATTTCTAGTGGTGGTTCGATAGGTAAGTTTGTATCAATTTTACACGTGCAGTACTAGTGGAACGGGTTATTTGGGTGACCTGGGTTAGATAAAATCCTTTATTATTTTAGCTGCAGCGACAAAACTTAACAAAAAACAAGCCGACATTGCTATAAATTGGATGGGGGGCCTTCACCACGCAAAAAAGAGTGAAGCATCTGGTTTCTGCTATTCTAACGATATTGTATTGGCCATTTTGGAATTGCTTAATTACCATCAGGTATTCATATAGCTTAGTTGACGGTAAAGGTATACTTATGTATGTAATTCAATTCTTCAAATTTTTAAGTTAACAGTTTCAATATTGTAGCGCGTTTTGTATGTTGATATTGACATTCACCATGGCGATGGAGTCGAAGAAGCTTTTTACACGACAGATCGAGTAATGACTTGTTCGTTCCACAAGTATGGAGAATACTTCCCAGGGACAGGTGACCTTAAGGTAATAAAGTTGAAGGAAATAGTTTTGGAGATGGGTTCTTTTTATCGCCATATTTTTAATTTACTTATTATTGTAGGATATTGGAGCAGGCAAGGGGCGCCATTACGCTGTTAATTGTCCACTTCGTGACGGCATAGACGATGAGGCTTACGAACGAGTCTTTCAACCAATAATGGAAAAGGTTGGTGGTTTTAATTAATTTCACAGTGAGTCTTTGTTACGACTGTAGTATCTTTAGGTAATGCAGTCTTTTCAACCATCTGCTATTGTTTTACAATGTGGTGCTGACTCCTTGACCGGTGATCGATTAGGATGCTTTAACCTAACATTACGAGGTTCTTCTTTTATTTTCTAAGGCTCTTTATGTAGGTGTTTGTCTAAGTCACTATTGCTGTTATTACTGTTGTTATTATTACTGTTATTATTATTTTGAATTATTTAGGGCATGGCAAGTGTGTAGAATATTTGAAGCGATATAATGTGCCGCTACTTATGTTGGGAGGGGGTGGATATACGATTAGAAACGTTGCACGATGCTGGGCCTATGAAACTTCTGTTGCTTTAGATACAGAAATATCTAATGGTTCTTTTTTCTTGGCATTTAAAAAAAAAATTTTTTTATTTTTATTTAAAGTGATATTTTAACTTTTATTATTTTTTGTTTGATTGTCAAACCCTTCATTGTTTAACTTTTAAGATTTGCCATACAACGATTATTTTGAGTATTACGGACCGGATTTTAAATTGCACATCGCACCATCAAATATGACGAATCAGAATACTCCCGACTATATTGAAAGAATACAGTAAATCTTTACTATAGAAATAAACTAATTGTGTTAGTAATTATGCATGGGAGTCAAAGTATTTCAAAAACCTCTCCATATTCATTGAGTTATTACCTTCGTAATCAGTAGTTAGTTCTCTATCTTTTAAATTACAGGACAAAGATATTTGAGAATCTTCGAAACATTCCACACGCTCCTGGCGTTCAAATGCAACGTAATGTACCTTCTCCTATTTTTTCACTACTTTCTTTCAACTTGATAATGCTTCTTTTTATGTTGATGCAGTTTCGATACGGGGAAAAGTTAAATTTTTTTCATATTTATTTTATATATTTGTTTTAGCTATAAAAGGCGATAGCGTAGTTTTGGAAGATGAAGGCGAAGCAAGGGACAAGAATAATCCTGACAAGCGATTTTCAAGTAATTATTTTTTCTGTTAGAGGAGTTTTTCAGTTTCAAATGTTTGTTTATTTTGTTATTTCATGAGAAATTTTTTTATTTGAAATAGACGAACGTATTTTCTACAGTTTATAAACTCCTCATTTTTTATCTCCACATGCTACTTAATCTGTTAAACTTTTTTTGGGAGTATCGTACTGTCACATTTGAGCTAATTACATTTTTTGCTGGTTATTGATAAGTTATTAAATTCTTGGTTTTTTTTTTCAGTTTTTAAGATGATTTTCTTTTTAAAATTGGAACTCTGTCTTTAACCTGTGGCTTATCACTTGAAATGAGTTCTCTTATGATTACTTTTTGCGACCTAGCGAAAGAAGAAGGTTTATATTCTTGTAGGTACTGAGAAAGTAACTTTTTCTTTGTTATACTTAAATTCATTAAGTTTCTTTAGTCTAGCAGAATGTAGGAAAATCAGATGCTGCCAACTTATTAACAGCAAAAAAAAGTTTCTGAAGCGCACCTCGAATAAATTGCTTCCTGCCGTTATTCAACTATTCAACTTTTATAATCCCTACCCTCGTTCCTTTTCAGTCTTTGATAGCGATAAAATGGTGCAGCATGAGGCGGAATATTACGATACTGAAAAAGAGGGTGGTGAGAAAAAAACTAGTGAAGTTTGTCATAAGCGGCCTGCTGATGAAGAAACTACATCTCCAGATGCGTCTATCAAAAAAAGTCGTGTGGAAGTTGGCCCTACTATTCCGTAAGTCCGCTTTTGTTTTTTTTTCAGATTTTTAAGTCTTTAGTCTTGTTACATTGTTATTGCCTTTTCTTTAATACTTACGCTATGGAAGTTTGTAAACTTTTTTATACTTTCGGTTGGTCTCCTTAAAGTTGAAAAAAATTCAAAGATTTATGATTTAAAATTTCACATTTGTTTCTTTACTGTCAACATTAATGATCTTTTTTGTCATTAATTTTTTTAGAACATATGCAAAGGGTTTTCACTGTCTTTTACAGGAATCCTACAGAAACATCGTGACCACGTTGTTCTATTACTGAAGTCTGGCTTTTACCCATTAGTATTCTCATTATTGATTTTATTTCATTAAGAATCTTTTTTTGTGAGATTGTGCCATTCGGGTTTCAACTTGTCACAAATGTTTAGGATGTAAATAAGGAAGATGCTGTTGATTGTTAAAGGAAAGGTAAAGCTTGGTATGTTGAAAATTTGCTTCTTTTAGTAATCCTTATTATTTGTTGTTGGACTTAAAAGGTTATTGTTTTTGAAGAGGAGATATTCTTGCAGTACTTTCCATATTGGAATTTCTCTGGTCTCATCAGTATCGTTGGTGTTGTGTTATTTTTTGTTTTGTAATTTACTCTGATGGAGACATCTTTTCTTTAGTTCCCTGATTTTCCTCGTTGAGGACTACTTTACATTAGCCTGGGCTAAACTGATCTAATCCGTGATGGGGTTGTAATTTAATAACTATTGAAGAATCTTGTTTTTATGCATTAGTTTCCTACAACAAGAAAATTTTTAAAGCCCAGACTTTCCTTAAGTTTTGTTTTCTAGTTGTTTCAGTTATGTCGTTGTCGAGTCAGAGTATTTTTTAATTTTTCTTATTGTGCTTACTTATCTGTATGTTTCCATTATGTCAGTTTTGTTCACTGAGATTCTGGTAGGCACTGTTGTTTTGAGTTGGCTTAGTATTTCCAATGGATTTTCTTCTGTAGTTAAAGGTAGAGAGCAGAGATTCAAATAGTTGAATATTAATCCTGGACTTAATACAACAGAGCCATTTTAAATTGATCTTAATTTGTACTTGGAATGTTCGACTTTACTTAATTTCATCAAAACGCCAAAAAGGTTTCTGAAATGAATCGTAAAAGTTAAGTGAACTGAGACTTGAGCCTTCTCAGTGACACTGGTTACGTCGGCAGTTGTATGTTTTTGTAATTCTCAGAAAAAAATGCTTTTTATTTATGCTCAAAGCATTGTGAGAATTGTGCATTTTTGATTTATATATGTGTCTTTGGACTGGTAGTATCTTATTCTTTGCAAACGGCATGCCGGAGACGAAGGACGAGTGAAGAGTTTGGAGTCAAAGCATTGCAGCTTCCTCTCAGGATTAAGATGGGGCGCTGCATTGCTTTTAGGCTTCGGAAGTGACAGATTTGTTAATTCTGAAATTTGGCTCTTTTACAAAAAAAATGGGAGCCGCGTGCGGCAGGCTTTGTGGTTGCTACGAGTCGGTAGTGGGCTGGACAAGGAACTTTCTCTGCAGACTTTTCCACTGCAGTTGTTTAAATATTGTGTGTTTATACACAGTTGTAGAGGAGAAATGGATACGATACGTTTGAAGCGGTGGTAAAGTTTTTTTTTAGTTCTTCACTTGAACTAGGACTCTTGTGCGGGCAAAATTCTTTTTAAAGAAACTGCAATTAGTAGAGTGAAAGAGGATGTTTTGAAATCAAAGTTGCTAAAGTAAATCTGAAGGAAGGAAAGAAAAAAGAAGCTAGAAATATGGGGCAAAAGAGGAAGCTAAAATAATAATCTGAGAGTAACCCAGTGGTTATCCTTTTTTTTCCTAGTACATTTTCAATTTTATTTTCCTTTTTTATTTTTTTGAGATATTTACAGTTTCTGCAGGCCATTCGACTGGTTAGGAACCACTGGAATCTCTGGAACTAATTTATATGGATCGCCTAATCACGTTTTGGTAACTTTTATCTCTTCCTTATTAGTATTTTTCAGACAACTCATTTCCTTTCCAAGGCTTGGTCGTGTTCTCTTTTATAACTTTAACTAGCCCTGCAAGCAGTTGCCTTGCTAAAAATTGTTTTAGATGTTTTCCCATCTTCCGGTGTAAATTGGCAAACTCTGCTTAGGAGTTCAACAGATTGTGTAAGGGGCATTTGTGAAAGAAGATCCGTAAAAAGTTTCTTCGTTAATATTTCGAGAAAAAAAGCTAGTTTTTTAATTATTGTTGTGGATTCCTTCCCTCACGCTTTTTAATTCTCTTCGTTCTCTTTCACTTCTAATTCCAACGGCTTTATTTTTCAAGCAGTCTTTTTACCCGTAAAAATTTAGTCTTTCAACAGCTACAGAAATTCTGTATTAACTCAAAAGCTTCTAACGGTTTTTTATTATTCCGTGTAAATCTTATACATTATCAGTATGTCTGCGAGGAACGGTCCCAGAGGGAAGAAAATTAGCTATTCAGAACAGTGACGGCGCGCAACCAGTCAAAGAGATTTCTGCATGCAGATCTCTTTCCTTCGTAAAAGCATCGAAAATTTTCTTTGCATTAAAATGCTGCAAAGTTAATTTACTCATTGGGATTCTACTTTAAGAAGTCTTAGCCGGACGCTAAAGATTCATTTGCAATTAAAACCAGTGCATTTTGTAAAGAAGTCAGATAAGTAACTTCGAGGGAAGGAAAAGGGGAGTGGAGTTTACACCCGGCGTTGGACTGGGTTCTGCCAGTGATCAAAGTCTTGTTGATATGTTTAGATCAAATTCTTGAATCGCAGAGTTTAAATGCATCAAAAGGCGCTGTCGAGAGAGAACCGCTTAGTAAGGATTGGGAGAGTAGCGTGGTTAAAAGTGGTTGGTGTAGTCTTTGGAGTGCCAAATTAGTCAGTAAATGGAGCGACAATAGAGGTCTAAAGTAGAAACAGGAGTAGTCAGATTATAAAATGAATTTTGTTAGATTGGAGTATGATTAAGTGTGAATTTTATTTTTACTTCTTAATATAAATGTCAAGTAATTTTTAAACAGAATGCTAACCGTACCACTTTGAAAAACAGAATTTGGTCATTATAAAATTGGCGCCTTACTGCTTTCATTTTGAGTGAAGTTTCTGCATTTAAAAAAATTGGGAATTTGTAAATGTTACATTTTTACGCAAGACCACGGCAGCTGAATGATTGCTCAGTATTATCGTAGGGTTATGGGGGTCATATACACAGTGGAGGGTTATAATAGTGTTTCAGAATGAGCGGTGCCAATTTGACTATGGAGGTTTAATTTAGGAGATTTGGACATTAACGAGCAGAACTTGGTCGCAGGTGAAGATCTAGAGATAGCGACAGTTTCAAAGTAATTGTTAAAATTCAGCAAAAAAAAAAA